TTTTTTCTTGCTTTTATTCATAATTGGGAATGCTAAGTCTTTCCAGTCATGTTTCATTGATCTATTATGTATGCATGCGTGTGGCCTGCACATAGAGGTCAGAGGACAACTTGCAGAAGTCAGTTCTCTCCTCCTACCACGTGGGTCTCGGGGATCACGCTAAGGTTGTCAGTCTTGGCGGCAGGCACCTGTACCATCCAAATCATCTCACCGGCCCCGTATTTCCCGTCATTCTCTTTCTAGTGCTATTATCTGGGAGCCACCAACGACGCAGCCACCAAGATCCTAGGTGAAGTTACACGTCCCATGAGTGTGCACATGCCCGTAGTGAAGATCTGTGAGAGGCTGAAGAAGATGGACAGCCAGATTTGTGAGCTAAAGTATGGTACGAGAGACTCAACTGTCTTTCCCACTATGTTCCATGTGTCGGCCAGCTTTGAAACACTGGGCCATGTTATCTAAAAAGCCAGCATTAGAGAGAAGGAATTCTCCACTCACTGACAGGTTGCTGAGCTGGTGAATGGTGTTTTATGGCAGCTGACCTCATATAAAGGAAGAGAAAGAAATGAACTAACAATAACCTAATAGCAAATATTGGACACTAATGAATCATCAGCATTAAGTTGGAACTGCCATTCCCAGAGTTTAAGTTTACTAAGGTGATGTCAGCCATGTGTGTCTGGACAGCGTGTGAAAATGAATAGAGGAAGCAGGCATGGGGGACGCTGAAGACATGAGTTCGTGGGTTCACTGGCAGCAGGGCTCTGAAGTCCTAACGTGACTACATTTTCATCCTAGGTGTGTTCACCCTTCTCTCACCTTTCACTTTCAGGAACTGGGCTAGTCCCATCAAACCAGGTCTTGCATGATGACATAGCTCATCAGAGGTGCCTAAAATAAACAGCCAGCAAAGGAAGGGGATGTCCTATTTAAAACTATCCTTGGCCTTATAAATTTCACATGGTTAAATCTATTCTTATACTGTGGGATTGTATCTGGGCCAGCCTTCTGCGTAGATGGAGTCAGTGTGATTAAAGGCTGGGAAAACTTTTCCCTCAGCTCCTTAACACCTGAAATTCCACTGATGGAGACTTTCTTTTTGCGTAAGTTGTTTTCTGTCACACACACACACACACACACACACACACACACACACACACACACACACACAGTATTACTGTAAATGACCTAAGTAGTTAGCATCCAGACCTGAATCATTTAGCCTCATTTCCCACCACAGCTGTGTAATGTGCACACGTACCACAGCTACACGGCAAACATGGAACAGGTTCAGGGTTGAAAGGTGCCAAGGACAGCCTCGTTCTTAGTCTGCCAAGCACAGGCCCTGACTTCCAGGGTAGTTATTATGAGTAAGCTTCCCTTTTTATTGATTTCAAAGGAGTAGGGTAGAGGCAGGAAGCCCTGAGTCCATACAAAACATGTTCACACAAGGGACAGCTGTGTGTTGAGTATTTCATACAACAAATCCATTTTTGAAGACTTGTACATTCAATGAGTGGTTTCACCTTAAAGGGCTTCTTACATATTAGAAAAAGTATCAAATATTATAGAGAAAATTACTATTTATTTGTGCATGTGAACACTGGCCCTTAGAGAACCTTGGGAAGCCATAAACTAATTTTAATTTTTGTATTGACCTCTTTCTTGTACTTTTAAGAGTATTGTGGCATTCTCCCTTTTAAATTTAGGGAGATGCCATTTCTTTCCCTGGAAAAACGCCAGAGAAGCTGCCGCCGTTTACTTGAAGTTTCTCTTCTCCTTCACCCCCTTCTCTTGAGTGTATCAGTAGTTATAAGTTCTCTTCAGCCTACTGTCAGATGCCCTGGAACTGGACTTTAAGGTGGTTATGAAGTACCTGCTGTGGGTTCTGGGACTTGACCTTGGTCCCTCTGCAGAGCAGAGTATGCTCTTAACCAGAGAGCCATTTTGCCGGCCCTCATTCTTCACATTATTATGGAGACTCCATAATGCTCACATGCATTATTGGAGATGTATCTTCTCTTTAAACTGGACTATAACCTTCTGGTTAGTTATGGCCTGTGTCTTTTAGTTAGCCACAATGAAAGTCATGCCAAAGACACTGGCTTTTATTTATAAATTTCTGTCTTTTCAACCTTTGGAGAAGCAATTAAGCAATTAAGTTTGTTTCAGGAAGGCAGACTGGAGAACTCTGCAAAGCTTCCAGGCCCTTGTTTTGAAGCCACACAGCCCTTTAGGAGGATGGTGGGAATGCAGACTATCCTGGTGTCTTTATACAGTGGAGGGTGACCAAATCCTCAGGGGCTCAAGTTCCTAATATAAAATGGCATAGCATTTGCATAGAATTCAGGCACGTCTTCTTCTTAACTCTAAGTCATCTCCAGATTACTAATATTATATCATACAATGTAAATGTTATGTAAATAGTTTTCTGTTGCATACTTTGTGTGTGCACACACTTGTGTGCTTGCACTCCAGTGAATGTATAAAAATGTAAGTGCATGTGTGCCCCAGCACACATGTGAAGGTTAGGGAACAATCCGTGGGAGTTGGTTCCCTCTTTCCACTGTGTGGATCACTGGAGATTAAACTTAAGTCCTTGGGCTTGGTAGCAAATGCCTTCATCCACTACACCATCTTGCTGGCCAGCAAACAGTTGTTATACTGTATTGGTTAGGGCATTATGACAAGAAAATCTCTGTACGTGCTCAACGTAGATTCAATATTTCCCTTCCTGAATATCATTGGTCTATGACTGGTAGCATTCAAGGACACAGAACCCAAGTGGGTAGAGAGCCGCCTGGTGATACTGCATTTTCACTGGGCATGTCTTGATCTCCAGGGAAGGGGAATTGTCTCACACTGAAGGAGAACGAAGTCAGCACCATATGCCCTTCTAAGAGTTGCATGAATTTTTGTTTTGTCGTTCAATCGTGTGTTCTTTTTTAACCTTTAGAGAAGAAATTGGACTTGGCATCGGTGGACCTGGGGAAGATGAGAGTCGCAGAACTGAAGCAGATCCTGCACAGCTGGGGGGAAGAGTGCAAGGCCTGTGCAGAAAAAAACGACTACGTCAACCTCATCAAAGAATTGGCCCCCAAATATGCGGAGATGCACCCCCAAACGGAGCTCTGACCTCAGCTATCGGTGCACACGGACTGTAGTTAGAGCGAAACGACGGTCTAAGACATGGATGTTGGTTAAGGCTAACCAGGGACTGCCCTGGTGGCATACTCACTGTTGTACTGCTTAGGCTTGCGATTAACCGATTAACTGATGTTTCCTGCTGGTCACCCACGTTTGCAGAGTCCGGAGACCTCAAAGTGCCTTTCTCCCCCTCCTTTGGAAGGTGCAGTGGTTCTCTTTGCATGCCTGTGACATTGGTGTCTGGCAGAAGTGAGTCAGGGGAGGGATATTTACTTCGGCTCATGGTTTCAGCCCATCATGCCAGGGTAGCTAATGGCAGAGCAGCTCAGAGCACGGACACGGGCGCTCGGCAGAGGCGGTTGTCATTTTGGGGGACTGAGAAGCAGAAAGTGATGTTCAAATAAGGATAAGGCTGTGACCTTCAAAGGTGTAGCCCGACTGATCTACTTCTGCCAGCTAGACCTCACCTCAGAGCCTCCCCTAATCACCACTAACCGGGGAACACACATTAAAAATGGACCGATGGGGCACAGCACTGGCTGGTTTTGTGTGTCAACCTGACACAAGCTGGAGTCATCCGAGAGGAAGGAGCCTCAGTTGAGGAAATGCCTCCATGAGATCCAGCTGCAAGGCATTTTCCTCAATGAGTGATCAATGGGGGAGGGCCCACCCCTGGGCTGGAGGGCCCACCCCTGGGCTGGTGGTCCTGCGTTCTGTAAGAAGACAGGCTGAGCAAGCCATGGGAAACAAGCCACGAAGCAGCGTCCATCTGTGGTCTTGCATCAGCTCCTGCTTCCAAGGTCCTGCCCTGTTTAAGTCTATGTTTGGCCTTGTTATAGTCACCTTCGAGTTGCCAAGTGACCCAAGCTCAGAGTCTTCTTTCACTGTCACATATCGGACTGAAGCATGCTCAGCACATGAGGCAGCAGAGATGCTTGTGGTTTCTAATGCTGTTCTATCAGGTTTAAGCAGTAAGCAATATTTTCAGCTCCGTTTTCCGGCCATAGAAGATTAAGAACCCCATGGTAGAAGTGGGTGCCTTTGTGTCATAGGTCGGGGTATGGATATTCAAGAAAGCATTCCCTTGAAATGTTTTGGGGTGATGGGAATGTCCCTTATCAGGGCAGGTGATGAGAGATATGATCATCATATTGATATAGAGGTATAATTAAGATGTGGATATTTTATCATACATTAATTCTATCTAATAAACAGTTGTAAAAAGTTATTTGAGGATTACCCAAAATTAATTGATTAAAAACAACTGTTCATTTCAATAATCAAATGAACTTACTGGTAACCTGTGGAGTAGAGAAGAACTTATTCAGACGATAAATATACATTGGCAGAATATTGTTCACTTTCAAATGATGCATTTTCAGCTGAGCAATGGGATATGAGTGAGCTTGTACTCCCCAAGGAGATATGTAGGTTGTGTAACTGGAAAAAAAAAAAACGAGAATAAAGGAGTAGTGTAATGAACGGCCTGAGGTGGTTATTATTTCTGGACTTTAGCAGTTTTCTCACTGTGTGGAAATAGCCTCCTTCATTTTGAATTGTATTTAAGGAATACCAAAGTTGAATTGGTATAGCTGGAGAATTTCTCTCCAGCTCCTGCCAAGCCCTGGAAGTCCGACAGCCCACTTATAAAATAAACACACAGACACTTATATTGCTTACAAACTGTATGGCCATAGCAGGCTTCTTGCTATCTGTTCTTGTATCTTAAATTAACCCATTTCTATTAATTTATAAGTTGCCACGTGGCTTGTGGCTTACTGGTATCTTAACATGTTGCTTCTCCTCATAGCAGCTGGCAGTGTCTCTCTCCTCAGCCTTCCACTTTCCAGAATTCTCCTTTCTCCTTGTCCCGCCTATACTTCCTGATGGCCAATGGCCAATCAGTGTTTATTTATACAAAACGATATCCACAGCAAACTAAAGAACTGGCTCAGTGGTTAAGAGAACTAGCTGCTCTTCCCGAGGACCCAGATTCCATCCCCTGAACCCACAAAGCAGCTCACAGTCGTCTGTAATACCAGTTCCAGGGGCTCCAACACCTTCTGACCTCCCACAGGCATCAGGCACACAAGTGGTGGAAAGATGTCCTTGCAGGCACTATACACGGAAAATAAAAACAAAAATACCAAAATTAAACTTAAAAAATTTCTAAAAACATATCTGTGTCTTAGTCAGTGTTCTATTGCTGTGAAAAGACAACATGACCATGGCAACTCTTATAAAATGAAACATTTAATTGGTGGCTTATTTACAGTTTCAGAGGTTTAGTTTTTTATCATCATGGTAGGAAGCACAGCAGCAGGCAGGCAGACGCGGTGCTGGAGAAGTAGCTGAGAATTCTATATCCAGATCTACAGGCAGCAGGAAGATGAGATACTGGGCCTAGCGTGCGATTTTAAAACCTCAAAGTCTACCCCTAGTGATATACTTCCTCCAAGAGTCCACACCCCCTAATCCTTCTCAAATAGTGCCACTCCCTGGTGAATAAGCATTCAAATATATCAGCCTAGGGGGACATTCTTATTCAAATTACTACAGTGTTTCTATTTTGCACTTGAACTTATAAAACTTATCATTTGGAAATAAGCTTAGCTCTCTGATTTCAAAATCAGGTCATATTTCTGTGTCACTCCCGCCCCCCAGGAATCTAGGTAATAGGAACATTATTTAGTAGGCCATTCAGATCACTGATGTTGTCTTCTTTTTTTCCCCCAGTGCTAGCCATGGTCTGTTTTTTCTCAAAGAGGTTTTTACACAAATGCTTTGCAGACTTCTGAAGTTTGTTCCTACAGAGTAGTGGGGAAGTGTACTACACTGCATATTCATACCCCGTGAGTCTGGGACAGAACCTCAGTTACCTGCTGTGTGTGTGTGTGTGTGTATGTGTGTGTGTGTGTGTGTATGTGCATGTGCATTGCATATGTACACATGGATGCTGTTGCTCATGTCTGCAGTGGTTGGAGGATACCAAACGTCCTGCTCTGTCTCCCTCCACCTTACCCCCTTGAGTCAGAGTTTCTCACTGAACCTCAAGCTTATACTTTGCAGCTAGGCTGGCTGGCTGGCAAGCCCTGGGGGTCTGCGTACCTCTTCTTTCCAGTCCAGGAATTGTAAGCATGCATAGCCATGCTTGGCTTTGATGTGAGTTCTGGAGATTTGAACTCAGGCCCTCAAGACCTTTACTGACTGAACTATCCACTAGTCCTCAATCAGGTAGGTTTTAAATAGAATTTAAATATATCAGTAACATTAGGAAGGAAGAAAGTTTATTCTTTTACAGAGAAGAAGTCAAGTAGACAGAAATTCAGGGTGGATTTGGTGGCTACAATGGTCCCAGAGACTCAGCTCTAAACTTTTTGCTTCCTATCCTAATGATGGTTTCATTGCTAACCCTGAGTCCACAAACCATCTCCATGGAGCAGTATAAATTCTCTCTGGCCATGCCTCTCAGGCTGTAATTCCTGGTTGTTTACTCTAAATAACCCTTCTCCTAGGTATTTCAATCATTCATGCATGTAAGTGGTAATATTTTCCCTTTTATTGTTTTTGGCTTAAGAAGTATTCTTTTTCTCCTTTATCTTCATTTTAACTTGCTGCTTCTCTCATTGCACATGTGTTTGTGTGTGCATTTTCCATGAAAAAAAATCTGTGAGCACAGAAGATGTGAAAGTTACACAATCTGAAAAAAAAGTGATAAAAATGAGTTGGGGCCAGGGAAGTTGGCTCTGTGGGTGAAACACTTGCCCTACAAATGTGAGGCCCTGAGCTTGGATCCCCAGAACCCACACAAAAACCCCAGACATGGCAGGGTGCATATCTGTAATTCTAGCTCCTCTCTGATGAGATGGGAGCTGAAAACAGGAGAATTCTGGGAAACTCCTGCCACAGATAACCTGGAGTACACAGTGATGAACAACGAAGGGACTTTGCCTCAAAATCAAGGTAAGAGGCAAGGACAGACACCCAAGTGACTTCTCAAGACACCCATCAGAAAGAAAGGGTAGTTGGTGGCTGTTCTCTCAAAATATATTTGAAAAAAAAATTCCACCTAAGAAAAATCTTGGGCATATGATCATTTTGAATATAGAAACATATTTTTTCTTACTAGCTATCATTTTTTTTTCTTTTTGTTACAGTGTGGGCTTCTTAAATTTGTAGTATCAAAAAAATACTGAAATTAGGAAATTAGTTGCATTAAGTTATTCTCCTATATATATATATATATACATATATACATATATATATATGTATATATATTTCCTGGCAACATAAAGGTCAGTAGAAAGGGGAATATATAGATATGCTGTGTTTTTTTTTTCTTATCAACTTGACATGAACTAGGGTCATCTGAAAAGAGGGAACTTCAATTGAGAAAATGCCTACATAAGATTGGGCTGTAGACAAGACTATGGGGCATTTTCTTGGTTAATATGAGAGGGTCCAACCCAATGTAGCTGGCACCACCCCTGAGCAGGTGGTCCTGGAGTGTATAAGAAAGCAGGCTGAGCAAGCCAGAGGGAACAAGCAGTAAGTGGCACCGCTCCATGTCTCTGCTTCAGCTCCTCCCTTGAGTTCCTGCCTTGACTTTCCCTCAATGATAACTATAATCTGTAAGTCAAAATAAACCCTTTCCTCTCCACGTTACTCTTGGTCAGCATTTTTTTCTATAGCAATAGAAACCCAGTTAAGACAGTAGATGCTGTTAGAAGGTGTTTGCTATCCTTTCCACTGATAAAAATGTGGGGAATTGTGATTGGGCAGGACTGGCTGGGCCTGAATTTACCACTCTCTCTAGTGGATTATGGGACTGATAAAATAGCATTTTAAATATGGTGGCTGGGGCTGAGGAGATGGCTCACTAGTTAAAGTGTTTACAGTGCAGGTTCCCCAGAACCCATGTAAATATGGGGCACGAGTGTGGGTCCTCCTGTAAGTATGTCCTCAGAAGGCAAATATAGGGAAGTCTAGAGCAAGCTGGGTAGCCAGACTAGACTGTCTCAATCAATAAGGTAGAAGAAAGATTGAAGATGATTTTTTTTGACAAAGTTTCTGTGTTAAACAGTCCTGGCTATTCTGGAATTCACTCTGTAGACTAGGCTGGCCTCGAACTCACAGAGATCCACCTGCCTTTGCCTCCTGAGTGCTGAGATTAAAGGTGTGCACCACCACCACCTGGCTGAAGATGATTCTTGACATCGACTTGGGTGTCCACATGTATGCCCCTATACATGCACATATGTGGTGATATTGTGTTCCCCAATATATTGTGAACACTAATAAACTTATTTGGGGTCAGAGAACAGAACAGCCACTAGATATAGGGGCCAGAAAATGGTGACACACACACACACACACACACACACACACACACTCACACACACACACACCTAGCTTTCCGAGGGCAGAGATCCATCTGAATCTCTGTGAATTCAAAGTCACACTGGAAACAGCCAGGTAGGGTTACTCATGCCTTTAATCCCAGAAAGAGATGGCAGGAAGCAGAAAGGTATATAAGGCATGAAGACCACGCTGGATAAGCTTTTAGGTTTTTGAGCAGCAGTTCAGCTGAGATCCATTCAGATGAGGACACAGAGGCTTCCAGTTTGAAGAAACAAGATCAACTGAGAAGTTAGCAAGGTGAGGTAGGCTGTGGCTTGTTCTGTCTTTCTGATCTTTAGCGTTCACGCCAGTACCTGGCTCCCAAGTTTGTTTTTATTAATAAGAACTTTTAAGATTCTTGTTACACACATATGACCACACACATGTTAATGAGCATATACACACATGCACAACACACACACACACACACACACACACACACACACACACACACACGAAAATGGAAAAGAAATAAACATGGTAGTTGACAATGGCAGACCATTAGTTGTTGGTGAAAGGTATCTACTTAAGGCATGTGCTCTAAATGTGGATTTTTAAAATTGTCTGCTATCTATTAGAGGCACCTGGAGATAATTTAATAATCTGCAAGGCCAGGCTGTGCCCTCGAGCAGTTCCTTTCAGTCTTTGGATGAAGAGAGAATCTTAAGTGTCAAGAGTTGGTATAGCCTCCCAGGTGTTTTCAATGTGAAGCTAAGCTTGGGGGAATCGTTGTCCTTAGTACTCTGCCCAGAACTGTGGCAACTGCTTCGGAGGGAGGAGACCTGATGTGTGACACTCCTCTGGGTGGCTTGGCTCTCCCAAGGTTTCATGGTTGACCTTGAAAGCTGACAAATATGGGATGCATTTCCTGTGGACAAACACCCGCTCCTTGAGAGACGTGGTTTAGTTGTCTATACTGGGAGCATCAGTTTCTCATCTCATAGCTGTGCCAAGATACCTGGCAAAGACAACTTAAGGTAGTTTCGTTTGGCTGTGGTCTAAGGGTGCAGTCCATCGTGAAGGGGAAGGCATGGCGGAAGGAACAGGGGGCGACTGGTCACATTGCATCCGCTGTCTGGGAG